CCCCAGCGGAGGGCCGCCGACGGAGTGGCTCCCAGTGACGTCATGCCGTGGCTCGCACAGAGTATGAACAAATCGCGTGGTGACTAAACCCGTATATCAACGAACGACTATTTGCGGAACTTCCTTACGGAGTCGTTGGCGATTCTGCTACCATCTGTTAACGAGTTTTCAATGTACCGTGTGACGGCAGCTTGCTACAGCAGAAGTCTTGACTGGCTGCCACCACCATGGTCGTCATTATCATGCATTCGTTACAAATACCTATGGCTTAATGTTTGCTTGGTGCCAGTGGCTTCATGCTGTATGATACAAAACGAAAATGAATGATACAAAACACATCCATTTACGTAAAAACGCGCGCAAGCAAACACGATCCTTTATGCCACGTTAACATAAAAGTCTAGGAATGAACATAGCACGGCTCTGTGAAATCAGAGCGGTCGGCAGCGGGCGGCTGCACGACAAGGCCGTACAGTACGGCACCCTATGCGCCACCCCAACATTCACACCGTTTTTCCGTCGCCGGAGAGGCGGGCAGCCCCGATGTGACGGCCACCAAAGACCGCGTGACGCGCCGACAAACAGCGGTGCGAGGGGGATAGGGTGGACAGCGACCGGGCCGCCACCGGGGCACAAGGGTCAGCTAAACCGTGAAGACTCCAATAAGGCCACGGCGCGACGTGACAAGGTCTGCCATGCCGCGCCAGCCCAGTGACTCCAAGACCGATGAACTATGGTTGCGGTCCCGTGCCTTCGAATGACTCAGACTACGAAATTCAACTGCTGTACTCGGCTGAGATAACAGACACCGGCCTCGCCCTAGACTGAGAGGCAGCGCAAGATGAAGGAGAAACCTTGGGCTCCTGCAAAAGGAGCATGTCACTTGTTGTACTCTTAAGCTTTTGTTAGGTTAGACGCGCACGGTTTTATCAGTGTTGCCAGTTTATCGAAATCCTTCTGAAAAGCTCGGAATTTCAATTTCAAGTGGCTACTCCCGCAGGTAGGAATCTCATTGGCTTCCTGCTCACCACTATGACAGAAAGGCCTTTCATTTGCCTTGCTTTCTGTAACGTGTGTGGTCTGTAATATTTGCAGCACACCAAGTTGTCAAATGTTTGTGTGATAGACGCTATGAGAGCTTGAAACACTCCGTCTAAACAAACAAAAAATCTGCAAGCATGATGGTTTCACCGCGCAAATTCAACGAAACGCCCTGCTGTGAGTTTTGTTTCTTTCTTTTGGCGTTCACCATAATGGCTCTTTTCGGGTCGCACCTTAGCTTTGGGAATGGGAGTGGTCCGTATTGACGCGCTGGCTCAGACGTCAACCAATACACTTGTCGGTAGCAGACCCTTGCCCGCTGGGCGAATCACAAACGTTCTTTTACTCGCGCCAGTAGGGGTGCCATGGCGGTTGTCATGACGCCGGCGACCGAGACAACGGCGGGGAGGAAGCGCAGCGCTGTTGCAGGGCGTTGACAGCGTAATTTGGACGCGAAACTGATTAAGGTTTATATCTTTATTAGGTCTTAACGGTGTTGCAGCGGCACTACCCAGCGCTATTAGTAGGTGTACCTAGTCCAGCAGCTTCACCGGAGGATTTTTTAGAATAAAAAACACCCCTGTGAGGCCGTGTCTCGTATCGGGACTGCTGGGAGGCTGCTAAGATCAGCCAGCATCACGTATGATTGAGGCCCTCCTCATGCGGCGATCGGCTGGTTAGCGGCGATCACGTGGGCCTGGAAGTTGGGTCGGCTGAAGGTTCGAAAATAATAGGCCATGTCGAGATCAGGTGACTGCCACACGGCGGTTCTGACTTGGGAGCCTGGCGAGGAGGCTGGCACCTGTGTGGCAGACTGTGTGGCAGACTGTGTGGCGGGGCCTGTGTGGCGCTACGCTTGTATTGATGAACTCAGACAGGTAAGACGATTCACAGGCTAATGTTACGTTACTACGGGTTCTGAGCGGAAGAAACTCTGCTGAGCGTTAGAATACGCTACATAAATTTTGCGCGACGTGTTTGTTTCAAGTGCTGCAGACCAAGTAATACGACCATTTTCTCCGTTGTGACTTGCTTGACTCGCACTCAGCAGGTTCCCACTGCTTTTTAAGCCTGAAGTATACTGCTATATATGCTTTATGGTGTCAACTGCATTCAAGTTTGCATTACATCTGTAAGTTGTTCTCGGAGTTCATTGTCATGAATAGATGTGCGCCCCACCATTCTTGGCTGTGGGTGGAAAGCCGACTATTGCTTGACTGACTGGTTGGTTTCGGCAATTCAAAATCTATGCTACCCCTTAAAAACTGGGACGAGGGGATTGTGGCTGGTCGAGAAGGCTTCCTAGGAAGGACTAAATGCCTGGAAGACATACGATAACAAGTATGGCGGAAGAACCTGCAGGCAGCGTTGGAAGTATTTAGATTTTATGCCAGGTTTGTGGAGGACTACGCGACCATGGTGGACCCGCTCGGAGCAGTACTGCGGAAAGGAGTACTGGACAGGTGAGAGTGGACGCTGGATCCTGAAAAGGCGTTCAGAGCAGTGGCGTATGCCATCACGGACAGCTTAGTGCTAGCCATGTACCATCCAGCCCTACCAACAACAGTGGCCAGTGACGCATCACATGTCCGCGCGGTCATTAGTCAGCAGCATCTGGAAGGGGAGAAGGTAGCAGTGTTTGCGTTAGCTACTTTGTCATCAGCTCAAAGGAAGTTCTCGGTAACGGAGAGGGAGACGTTAGAGGCGCGATGTTCTGTGGAGCACTGACGCACGTACTTTTTTGATACGAAGTTTGTGTTGAGAACTGACCACCACGCTTTGCAGATGTTGCTGACAGCAAAGGGAGTAGGAAGGGCTGGCATGCGAATCTCTCGCTGGACGAGCCAATTGCTGGTGCATGACCTCACGGTGTGATATCAGCAGGGCAGCAGCAATGTCGCGGACGGCCTCTCTAGACTACCCACAGCCATGGATAATGGATGATGGGCAGCTGATGACAGCAGCAGTCATCGACAGCATGGGGTAGACGGCGGCGGTGGACCAGACTGCATTCAGGAGGGTGGTCGAAGAGGAGCTACGTTCCAGTTCTACAGGAGCTACGGAAGCAGATCTCTGGCAGGTGGCCGTCTCGTTAACGAGACTGCCCAGCTGCGTTGCAGTCGTACTACCACTGGAGTGGAGCTGCTGGTGGTTGATGACCTGATCCTGGAGGGGAGGGGCTGGAAGCTCCTGACGTCTTGAAGAGACGGCTCATTAAAGCAGCACACGATGGGTACCAAGGTATGGCGCGGACAAAGCAAAGAGTGAGGGAACTGTTTTGGAGACCGAGGATGGATGGAATCGGAACTGGCAAAGCATGTGAAGCTGCGTGAGGCACGTGCTATGTCTGATCGCTCCGCCACCCCATGCAATGTCCCGCTCACACCAATGTTGTTTCTAGGGGTCAGCTGATCTAAGGCGAAAGTAGACTCCATAAAGCCGTCTGAGAACGGTGGAGCGCATAACCGTTTTGCGATTGTAATTGCAGATTACTACTCTAAATGGGTAGAGGTTGAATTATGTTCGCATCCCTCCTCGCAGGCTGTCATGGAGTTATTGAGGACCGAAGCCAGCCGGGAGGTCTTCATGGAGGACTTGGTGTCTGATAACGGGAAGCTCTCACTCCCTCACGGCACGATCAGCTTCTAAAACTGCGCGGTGGTAAAATCGCCGACTGCAACCACGTAAGCTTGCCAAACCGTGATTGCTGCTTGCCAGTCCAGACCCCAAGCCCGGAGCTGGGTGAGAGGCTACATAAAGTCCGATGATTGCGCTAAGAGAAGTTCGTTCTGCGGTACACTTCGTGACAAATGCATAATGTTGTCTATTGTAGCTTGTTCTCCCCACCTGTCGTTTGTCTTTCAGGGGACAACTTAGGCCCAATGGTTCAGTTTGGGAACGTTGGTCTGATTGGACAATACGCCTATCGATGAAATTGACTTTACGAACGCGGTTGTTTGACATGACGAACAACACCAAGTAATTCTTCGATGCATTTCGTACCACACCTTTTTGACGGCCGTTAGATGTCAGCTTGCCAAACAGAAACCATAAAAAGCAGACTGAGTTTGATGGAAGTTTCTTAGCCTCCGAAGCCAAACAAGTACCCGCATCCAGATCAGATTACGACATGTTTTTTGTCGTTGAACTACGCTTTTCCGCGGTAGAAGCTGGCCACCTAATCAAGGTGCGTGGCTTCTGAATCGATATCGACATCACACAAAGACATGTCAGGGCCCGTATGCTGATGCATGCAGTGGTCTCAATAGGTTTTCCTTGAGCCATACTTCATAATGTCTGTGGTGACCTCGGTTCAAAACTGCGTGTCTGCATTTCTCTTGTAGTCTTTACCCGACCTAGTCGTTCCCTCCCCCCCCCCCTCCAACTTACGGCCAATGCCTAGGTGCCAGAGACTGCCCATTCCAGAGCCACAGTCTGCTGCGCATGTCCATCTGCTGGTTCATTACTGACTTTTATCCCGGATATAAACAGCTTCCAATGATTTCAGCTTCACTTTGATGTACACTAAGCCAGAATGGTCGTATTTTCCGCAGATTCGCATCGAGTTAATGCCCCTCCATGAGTCAATATCACATGCCGCTTTGGCTCACATCATCTGTTTTGATAGTGTGGTCGAAGGTTGGCCGATGTACGAGTTCGGTCGACGAGTGCAGTCGCTGATGGGGTATTTGGACTCGTAAACAACGCTGGTCATTTTTAGTAATGGATGATTTGTGCACAGTTTGTTTTCCAGATCTAGGTTTAGTATTCTGCGACTGTGTAGTAAATTGCGAGTTTTATCCCGAAGACAACACCAAGCTCACAATTTACTGCACAATAGGCGCAACAGTTCAAGTGTTCGCATGAATGGGTAAATGCCATTTTTATTTCAGATTTGCAGTAGACGAAGGGAAATGAAACATAAAAAGATCGTCTTTTCACATTTTATTACAGATCGGGGCAGGCGTCAGTTGTCGGAGCACAAAAGCCGTAGTATGTGTGGTATGCGTATAACACTAATACCCAGGGTGATGGAGAGTAATATTTAGTATTTGTTAGTTGTATTATTTTGACGAGTTTCTAACTAAGGGATATAACCAACCAAATATTGCTAAACTTGACCTGTATGTGCGATTTTAGCTGTTCAAGACGTTTCATTCTAGTAACATTCTTTGTAGACCTTGCAAAAGGAATTGTTACAGCAGTTACACAATTTATTAACAAAATAACAGCAAAGAGTGAAAAAATGTCGGTAGCTTGGAACAATTAGGGAGTTTAGAGCGTAACACAACTTGTTTTGCTGCATTCGACCCCCCGAACGGCATAAATTTCCATCAAATAAGACGAGCCTTGACTTCGGTGCACGCGGCGTTGGGAAGCACCACCGTTGTTGATTGAACACTGAGGAGATGAACATTGTTTCAGTAATGTCAGAACAGAAAAGGGCCTGTTAGGGGGTGTCCCGTTCCCACGTCACCAAACTGATTTTTCAGCAAGCATTATTAAACTGTCCTCTGGTGACAATAGCGAACCAATATCATATAGTCATTGTATTACACGAACATTTTCAATGCAAAATCGTGCAACGTAAAGGTCATGGAAAATGTTATGACCTCCTGTGATCTTACGTTACCACTTAAACATATGCAGCGGTATGCTTTGATTTTTGTCAGCATTGCGCTACGGACATGTGGCAAGCTACGAGTCAGCAAATGTACTCCGATCCCATTTAAACCTGCCTGGCAGGTCAACCGCGAACAAAAAATGATAGACATCTCAAGGTAAATGTCAGACAAAGTTATTGCACAGTTGCCCTTTTTCTAACGGTTATGAAATTGGTAGAGGTTAATACCAGGCACCCTTGTATGCTGGGGGAGAACGCTACATCGACGAAGCTAGCGAGAACTATCCTAGAGACGTTGCGTACGATTGCTCTTAACCTTTGCGCACCAGATGGACTGAGCAGCTGATGTAGTACACATGGACAGACAGATGCGACTTGATTAATTAAGTCTTTGAACTTTAGTTCAAGTCTTTGAACTTTAGCTCGCAAAAGGCGTTTTAAGTGATGACAGATATTCTGTACCAGACTTTGTAAGCTCCAAACATTGGGTTTCTTTAACATACAGGTAACCGAATTGTGCAGCAGTTGATTGCCGTTATATAAACAATTATGTTGGTTTTCATTATTTCGAATCACTAGCTTAGCTCTCAGGTGGTCCGAAAACTTTTTACTCGATTGAGATCTTGTAATTCCTCATTTCCTATACAGGCCAGGCAAATGCAAACGTGTTCACGTCAGATAATCCTTTTTGAGGTCACCTATCCCACGCCCCTTTGAACTGCTGCTCGGCACCTGAAAATGGTGGCATGGTAGTCAACAGCTATGCATCTCTATCTTCAGCCGTAAGCAAGACTTCGTATCTCCCCTTAGGAAGACGTGCTTACGGCCAAGGTGATCAGCATAGCTGGGACACGAGTCCACCAGACATTGGCAGATGGAAATATGATGAGACCGAGGCAAGGAGCCCGCTGAGGCACCTTGCCTTGGCTCGTCTTGGCTCGCCTCGAGTCGCCTTGGCTCGTCTTGTACGATCTTGCGTGATGCCCGTGAAGCTATCTTCGCCGGCATTTCAGTATGCGCAGGAAGGCATTGCGGAATGTCTTGTTGAACAGCGTGTAGAATATTGGGTTAACCAGACTGCTGATGTAGCCTAGCCACGTCACGAAGTTGATGACGTCCACGGTGATGGCGTGGCGGCACCGCGCGCACAGCGGAAGCAGCATGTTGATAATGAAGAAGGGCGACCACAGCAGCACGAACGTGAAGAAGATGATGCCGAGCACCTTGGTCGCCTTCTGCTCGGCGCGCAGGCTGGGCCGCGCGCCGCTACGGCAGATGGCGTGACCGCCACCGCCGCTGCGCGCGCTCCCCGACGCGCGCAGCGAGCGCATGCGCACCAGCAGCGAGCGCTCCGGCGTCCGCGGCAACGACGCCGACCGCGTCGACGCCGAGCCGTTGCGCTGCAGTGACGTCACAGTGCTACCGTCGGCCGTCAGCGTGGTGACGGCGGCCGGGAGCGCCGCGTTGTCGGGCGATCCGTCGCCCAGCGGCTGGTAGTGCGAGCTGAGCGTCGAGTCGCTCGAGTCGACCGAGCGGCCGCCGACGCTGCGCGCGCGCTGCAAAGGCGGCGGGCTGGGGTCGGCGCCCAGCCGCTGCTCGGAGCTAGAGAGGCCGCGGCGCCGCGCCGCCTCTTTGCAGCGGCGCGCCGGCAGCACCAGCTGGCCGTGGCTGCCGGCGCGCCGGCCGGGCGCCGCCGGCGTCACAGCGAATGTGCCGTAGCCGTCGTCGTCCGCGACGCGGCGCACCATCGTGCGCCGGCCGTGCGCCAGCGCCAGCGACGCGTACGCTGACGTGCTGGTGGCGCACACGCTGAAGTCAGTGCACTCAATCTCCTCCATGGCGCACTTGGGGTTGAGTCGGTCGAGCAGCGAGCGCCACCACAGTCGACTGAGCGGCCGCACCGCCGATGTCGCGGCCACTGTCCGCGGCGAGCCCAACTCGACCTGCTTACGGTTCAGCATGCGCACAGTCAGCGCGTACGTCACCAGCATGACCAGCAGCGGGATGTAGAAGCAGACGACGCTGCCGACCAGCTGGAATAGCGGCTCGGGAACGCCGCACACGCCGTCGACCAGCACGGCACGGTGATCGCGCGCGTATATCAGGCAGAGTGGCACACTCTGGCAGACCGAGAGGAGCCAGACGGGCACCAGCTTGAGCAGCACCCGCCGCCGTGTCTTATGCCGGCCGAAGCGCATCGGGAAGCTGAGACTGAAGAAGCGGTCCACGGAGAGCGTGCAGAGGTGCATGATGGAGGCCGTGCAGAAGAGCACGTCCAGCAGCGTCCAGAGCATGCAGTAGATGGGCGGCAGCGGGAAGTAGCCTGGCGGTGACAGAACATGGTTGAGTGAGTGACATCGACTGGGCTGGAGACCGTTCTACCCCAGTCAGGCGAGGAGTGTAGTAAAACCTGCGGTAGGAACAAAGCACGATGTAAGAGTAAAGCCGAAAAATTTACAGGGCGGGGATCGGATGTGGTAGATTTGGCATATGGCGCACAATGGTTACAGGCAAACAAGTGATAGAAGATGATAAAAAATGAAAAGAAAGATGGGACCTGGTGATGCATAATTCATCCCAGGTACAGTGTTGTAGAAAGCAATGATGGGTGGTACATTAGTATCACAATAGAAAACAAACATCCGGGTCAGAGTGATTTAAACCACGCAAAAGATTACTCGACTACAAGTCTTATCAGAAGATGCGGCCTCTCGACCGAGCCTTAGCACCGAGTAAATGCTTCACTCGTTCAGGAACTGTCAGAAAAAAACTCGCATATCGGCTTTCAAATCTCCGTATTTGGCCCGACAAAAGAAGGCTGCATCATGCTCAGATCGCGTCTGCAACGAGAGATGTTACATAATCAGCAACTTCGAACTAGGGGGTACCACAGCTAGCCAGCGGGGTGCTCCGTGTCGAAAGCTTGCCCCATTCCACGCATCACAGTTCGTTGAATACCGACCTTTCCAAAAGTCGGCGCCCAGTTTGCACGGGCCGGATTTGACCCGCGCGCGCGATGCGGTGCGACCAAACCTGGTATATCGTTCACATTGAGGGGAGTCGGCCGACCGAGGCTTTCAAAGCAGCAAAGAATAGCGGCTGCCGCGTGCTGAGCGCTTGCACACGCGACGGTCGCGAGGAGACGGATGGAGTGAGAACCAGAACACACTGGCCAGTAGAAGCTCACAAACATCGGTGGTGCGATGATCCTAGGAAAAGGTTCATGTGCGATTGTTTATTAGTGGCGTTGCATAAGCTACAGCGTGACGACTGGTAAGTGACGGGTAGAGCATCAGAAAGCATTTCACCAATAAAAGGTGCTGACTAGAATGATGAGAAAGTAACAGAACAGTTCGCACAACAACTCCTACAAGGTAGGAACGGTCATATGCAGAGGCAGTACAGCCGAATCAAGCATCTATTCGGCGTCAACGTAGAATTTGTCGACGGCTTCTTGGTGATGACATCTTGGTGGTTGGTGATGGCTTCTTGGTGATGGCGTTCCCGACCAGGAAAAACGTGACCGAGACCCGACCTGGCTTAGCAAGCTGGTGATCCTGAAACCTGAGAACTTCGCTGCTGATGTCAACTGCAAGGTTCTGGAGACACAGTGTGGAGAAATAAGGGCGTGCATGTCAGTGGACACTGATCTAGACCGATAGGAGGCTGTGAACAATGCATTGGAGGCATCAGCTGTGCATGTAACTATCATGACTGCTATCTCACAAGCTGGTCATAAAGTAATCCGTGTTCGTCATGCTCCTCCGAAACCTAGCTTCCCAAACCATGCAACGGCGACCATTTTTACAGGCAAGGTCAGGTGAGCGAAGACCTTCACCCCAAAGAAACACGAATATTATACGACACGCCCTTCTTGTCCTCCCGGGGTCAGCGTTAAGTCGATAGTCCCAGAGTGAATAGCCGAACTGTATGTCCTGTCGCGGGAGGGCAAGGCCAAGAATGTGGCGAATAGGAGATCACTGCAACGACAAGATTTATTGACGCAGGAATTCAACCGCAACACAGTCGCAACGCACACCTATCCTATATTTATCGTGCAGCATAACTGAACATTGGTTTTAACCTGTGGTAGCCACGGCGTCTTCGAAAGTCACTTCGCCGGCGGTCGGCAGCGGGCACCGAATACGCGGCCGGGGTCTCAGCCGCCGGATGCCTTGGAAATACGCCGCAATTTTAACGGGCGGCATATCACGCTGCATGACGCTTACGCATCGTGCACCCAGTGTTATCACAGCCGTTGTCGTCGTCGCTGCCACCACTGTTAAGGGCGCCATCGCCGCCGGCGACGAGACGGTGGGTGTCACTGCAGTTTCGACCGCTGCCGCCCCTCGGCGGGACCGAGACGATTGGCCGGAGATACGTGCGCCGCCCGAGCACATTCGCCCCCTGAGAAGCCGCGCCAGGCAGCCTCCCGCCTGCTGACGCCCTTGACGTCCCCCTCCGCCGCCGACCGGTCCCAAGCGGACCTGTCTCGGGCCCTGCACGGGGACGCGCTGTCCAGTGTGGAGGGGCCTCGGCGGACCGGCGCCGGCGTCCTAGCGCTCGACTGTGACCGAACCGTAGCTCTGCTGCCGTCTGGTCGCATGCATCCACCGGCTGTTCTCATATATCAGCGAACGCCTGATGGCATGCAGGCACGGCTGATTGCAGTCAGCGGCCTTGGGCCGGTAGGCGAACGGCCTTGCGCACGCGAAGTGTTGCGCAGCTCCAGGATAAAGTGCACCCAGGTTGGCGGGCTGGTCCAACCACAGTTCCAGGTTACATACGGCCACCCGGTCAGCCGCGCAGGCCACGGGCCGCCGGCGGCGGCCGGGTGCAGCGCGGTCATAGCCACTCCTCTGGCTCCTCTCCGAGCAACTCGGCGTGTTGGGGCTTCTCTAAGTAGCGTGGCAGGTGCGATGATCGAGTGGTGACTTACGGTCCTCTGGGGATGTCAGTCCCGTGTTCTCCTCCCCAGCAGGGGCAGACCCGGGTGAGGCACTCTCTTCTCATCTCTCCCCTTTCCTAGCAATGACCGACTCAAATGGCAGAGAGTGACAGACCCGGGGAAGACACAGTGAAAGACTATGGTGCCGCGCTCTCCCTGTCCCGCGTCATTGTTGGAAGACCCAAGCGTCGCACTCTTCTCCTCGAGGAACTGCAGACGCGGGCGCCACGCTCTCCCCTTCAACACCGGTGCAGCCGTGACCCGCACTCTTTCTTTATACCAACCGCAGGCCAGGTGCCACACTCTACTATCCCCGCAGCGGCAGACCCAGGCGCGGCAGTCTACTCCCCCAGCAACAGCAGATCGGGTCGCCACACTCCAGAAGTGGCGTACCCGGGGGCCGCAACGTTCTATTCCCTCTAGCAATTTTTGAAATATAGTTGTATTATATAGCAATAGGTAAGTCCCTCTAGCCATTCCCTCCAGCAGTGGAAGGCCCTGGTGTCGCACCCCAGCAGCGACAGGCGTGAGCGCTGCATCTCCAGAAACGACAGATCCGGGCTCTGCGATCTCCTCTCCAGCATAATCAGACCCACTGCTGGATCATCCTGGCCGGAACAGTTTTTGCCATTGGGGATAATGGTTCTTCAGACGCGGCAAGTGAATAACTTTTTTAAAAATGTGGTCATCACGTCCCAGCCTGACCCAGCCGGTTAAGTCCTCATTTGAGAACCGTTGAAAGTCGAAATGGTCGCTAGATTGCTGACTTCATGCGACTCCCAGCGATTAACTCCTAGTGATGTCGCTGTGGGGTTGTTAGCAAAAGAGGCCTCCCCATGGCCCTAAAAAACGTGCCAAGCCCCTGAGTCGATTCATTTTCGATCATAAAGCCGACACAACAACCTGAAATATAATCTTTGCTGCACTTCTTTCCTCACTGCTCGGGCATCACCAGGCGCGCATATGAGTTGAGTGATCATGACTGATTGTGCACCTGAGTCGTGTTTTGCTAGATGACCAAGCTGAGCGTAATATTTCGAGAACAGTTTTGCACCTTCGTAAGTTTGCGTCTGCCATTCCGATTCCTGATTTTCTGTCTGTGAAAAATCCAGGTATTACTCTCGGATGACCGTTGATCGGTGTCCGAGGTCACACAGTCACGCAGTCCGAGGTCACACAGCCACGCAGTCCGAGGTCACAGTCATTTGTTTCTGTCCAGTCATGCTTATAAGTCGCAAGCGCGTTCATTGAAGAGGTCTTGGGGGCCCATACGATCACAGCTGCTTTTCAGATATTGCTCTGGGCTTTATCAATGGACTGACCGATCTACACCCCATTACTAATCATATCAATACTAAGCCTTCGGCGAATATGTCTGCACGTTTTTTCCGCAACATTAATAGTTTTCCATGGTGGCAGACAGTACTCTGTTCAGCACACTGGCCACCCTGCCGGTTGATCAGGACTAGGTCTGCTCAAGGCCAGAGACAAGTGTGAACTTATGAATTGCCTTCCCGTCTGTGTCACGAGTCCCCACGCGTCTTATGTTGACATAAACGAGGTTTGTCATACAAAACTCAAGACACGAGTTTGTCACATAAAACTCAAAGTCAGGCAGGCGCCACATATTAAGAAAATGAAGAAGAGAGCCTTGAAAATAATTTTCGGTCGCACGTAAAAGTACTCTCACATCCTGCAGCGGTTGGTCAGGGAATCCCTCGCTGACAAGTGGCTTGAGGGAAAATCTGTGCCTGAGGAAGGAACTCAGATGCGAGCGCCTCCCATGCAAAGAGATCTGCTTCCAAAGCAACGAGTAGCCGTCTTCGGCGTACATCCCCGGAGCGTAAGTACGTTCCAAACATTTTGCTGCAGTACGCGACTTCACGAATCAAGTATCTCGCATATAACCACTGTTAATAACACATATATTTTATGAACTAGACAACATCACAATTCGAAGGAGCTTGCAGGCACAAGGATTTTCACTGCGCTGTTCGGTAGGTGCTTACGATGAATTTTCGTCAAAGGGTATTGTGCAAATAAACGATATGAGTTGATACTCCAGGCCATGCTATTCTAAATAAACTGTTCTCTCTCTCTCTCTCTCTCTCTCTCCTCTTCTCTCTCTCTTCTCTCTGCTCTTCTCTCTTCTCTCTCTCTCTCTTCTCTTCCTCTCTCTCTCTCTCTCTCTTTCTCCTCTCTCTCTCTCTTCTCTCACTTCCTTTCTTCCCTTCTTTCTCTCTCATTTTCTCTCTCTCTCTCTCTCTCTTCTCTTCTCTCTCCTCTCTCTTCTCCTCTCTCTCTGTCTCGTTTCTCCTTCCTTCCTCTCTTCTCTCTCTCTCTCTCTCTCTCTCTCTCTCTCTTCTCTCTCTTCT